CAGCCCTACCCCCAGTCTTCCCCAGGAATCCAGCTCCTCTTTGTCCTGTTCTGCTGACTCCCAGATTGTCCTGGCTCAGTGGCCCCAGCCCCCTTGACAGAGAGCTGTCCTGAAGACCCCCACTGGGACCCTTTTCAGAGCCCCCAGCTTTCGGGGACTGAACTCTGACCTCCATTCTTCCAGCATGAATTCAGCCTGCCTAAGGGTGTGGGGCCAGGCCAGCAGGGCCCCTGGGAGGCTGAGGAGCTGGCGGGCCTCCAGGCAAAAGTAGCAAAGCTCCGCAGAAATGCTCTGAACAGGGATGCGGGTCAGCGGCCTGGGAGGAGCTGGCAGCATGGGGTCTGTGAAGGCAAGAGTTGCCAGCTGGAGAACAAAGGGGTCTTGGAGAGAGGGCCCAGGCCCCAGCCCCGGCCCGTGAGAAATCCACATCAGAGGAGGAAACGCCAGGAATTGGCCACAGCCCATTGGTGACTGCAGGCCGCGGAGGATACCCACTTTTGGCCTGGACTCTGGGATCCCTGAGCCTAAGGTGAGACCACCTGGCTCTGAGGGAGAGAGCGCTCCTTGCAGACCTGTTCCTTATAGGAGCCGTCAGGGGCTCAGAGCCCTGCGTGGCTCCAGTCCTTTGCCTCTGCTGTTTCCTCTGTCCAGAATGCCCTTTCCCCTGCGTCTGCCTGTTGAAATCCTACCCACCTTTCAGAGCGCTGCTTAAGCTTAACGTCATCTTCTCCAGGACATTCAGACACCCCAGACGTGAGATGCCCTCCCTTGGGCTCCCCCAGTGACTCCCCTCCCCACTTCACAGCACTTACCTCATTGTCTCAAACTTTACTTGGTGCATCTATCTTCCTTGCCAGCCTGTGACTTCCAGAGCCCTGTCCCCTCACCTCTGAACCCCATGCCTGGTCCCCATGCTCGATATTCTCTCCAAAAACTGAGCTGAGTGAGTGAATGAATCTACTCATGGACCTTAGGTTCCCAGAGTCTTTTTGTTCTAGAGATTCAAAGATCACAAGAAGGAGATCCCGAACATACACACAGGGCACCCTGGGAATGTGCTAGAGTCCCAAGGATGTAGAGTTGACTGACAGTGTGTAACTGTTCAGCCAAGAAGTCACCTTTGCCCACCTGCCGGTGCCAGTTGAATTTCCTTGGACTAAGGAGTAAGGGGCTAGAGTTTGAATCCCTTTCTTGGCCACCCAGGCAAGGCACTGCCACCCTCCCAGACCATGTGTCACCAGAATGCCATTTGGAACTCCAAGCCCCTGTCACCGGGCTTACCACTGCCCCAGCAGAGCTCCACTCTGAAGCCTGACATTCAAATGTGATCCACATTAACCCAGACCTTCACCACATACCAGGCTGTCTCTCTACCCCTAGAGCCCCCACACTATGGTAAACTGGGTTCCTCATCCTTGAGGCCTTTCTGGAAGTTCCCTCCTGTTATTTCATGGAATTTCCCCCTCCCAACAGCTCCATTTGTATGTCCCCATGAACCTCAAAGCTATTATATCATCCAAGGTCAAGCTCAACATCCTTCAGGTGAAATTGTAGGCTCCAGTCCGGGTTGGGGCTCTCACTTTCCATGCCACCGCTAAGCTAGAGACCCCACAAGTGTACATCCTTCTCCTTCAGCCACCTTGCTCTACCGATTTTACTTTCTAAATATTCTCAATCTGTTCCCTCCTCGAGCTTGAGCCCTCTTTGTCTCCCGCCTGGACCACTGCAGTAAGCTCCTCAGTGGTCTCCATGAACTAGCTCTCAATCTCCTTGAGTTCATCCTCCATACAGGTCAACAGAAGGATCTGTTTAAAATGCCATCTGACCAGGTTGCTCTTCTCTTTAAAAATCTTCCATGGTTCCCATAGCCTTTCAGTGGAATTGATCAAAGTGAGTTCGGTGCAACACTGGACCTGCAGGATACTTGATGTGAGATTCAGGAAACGCTGCACACCAATTGCCCCTCTTTCAGATTCATAATGTACATTGACATCTTAAGGATGGCTTCATCATTATCCTAAACTCCAGTACTTTGATCTCTGACCATGCCATCTTCCCGCCATGCTCTTCAATTTCACAGGACATCCAGACCTGGAGCCTCTCCATCCTCTCCCTACCTACTGAGCCCCGTCCTGGCTCCACTTCCCTCCCACTTCTTCCCAGACACCTGGTCCCTCACCTCAGCCCTTTCTTGCCACCACTCTCAGCCGTCCTGCTCTTCTTTGTCTCTCTGCAGCCTCCATTTCATCCCCTAAGCGTTGGAGTCCAGGTGCTGTGGGAGAAAGCCACATTCCATCATGGAAGCTGGAGTCAGCCTTGGTCCTCTCAGACCTCACTGGAGCCCAGCATCACTTCTGTGCGGCCTGAGTTGCCTCTCCCATTCCCAGAGGGGCTCTTCCAAGACTTCGCCAAGAACCCCACCTTGCAACCTTCCTCTCACTCTTTGAAGAAGACCATCTTCTATGTAACAGGCAGAGGAGAACTTAGCCGGCAACTACCCTCGCTTCTGGTTCCCTTTCCTCCTCCTTCCTGCCCCCCCGCCCCATCCCTGAAGGCAAGCACCTCCACCTTTGCTCTGAGTTTCATCTTCTCTCCCCGCTACCTGTATCCATCTTCTCTTTCTCCTACATCTTCTGCCTTTCCTTTAGTCTCTGCCGTCAGCCTGTAAATATCAAATCTCTTCTGTCCAAAATGTTAACATACCCCCAAATAGTCCTTTTTGATGCCCCCTCCTCTCATAACTTCCAATCCCACCCCCCCAAATATCTCTGCTTTTTGGAAGAAGAGTCTACCTTCTCTGCTCCCAGTTTACTCTTTCCATTCCAGTGCAGCCTGCTTTCAGACTCCACAGTCACCAAGAGCCATCTGTTCACCCCCTTGCCTCCATGAACCTCCCTGGAGCAGTTGCTATTGCTGGCCCATCCCTCCTTTCATAATATGCTGTGCCCCATAGCTAGTAGGGTATCACCCGCTGCCTTTCCTCTGGCTGCCTTTGGCTCCCCAGCTCATCTGCCCCCTACATGTTGAGAGGCTCCAAGCTCCATCTTGGCCGCCTCTCTTCTCCACCTTTGTCCCGTCCCTGAGCATCTCCTCCACACTCATGTCTTCAACTGCTACCTGCACATGACCCCCACAGCCCTGTCTTCATCTCAGACTTCTCTCTGGAACTCCAGGACCACACTGCTGACTGCCCTGGGTCCTAGATGCCCCAGACAACTCATGTGCAACACATTGCAAACAGAAACTCATCTCCTGCCCGTGTGCTCCCCACAACAGCAAATGAGACCACCAAATGCACATCCCCAAAACCTGGGAGTCACCCTGACCCCTTGTTTCCATGTCCCCTCTCTTGCCAGGCATAGCTGGTCATATAATAGGGCCAACCTGGTTGTACAAGGACAATCACCCGGAAAACTTGTCAAACACAGCCCCTGGGCTTACTCTGGGCCTTACTCTGATTACTGAATCCAAATCTCCAGGGCTTGGCCTGGGAATCTGAATTCCCAGAGTTCTCTCCCCTTTGTGTATCCAGTTCCTTTGCTGCATCCAATACCTTTGCTGCAAGACCTGCCAGGCATCTTTGTGGCTTTCCCTATGGTCTTGACTCCTAACTTTGTTGCCCTCCACTGTCCTGCTCCAGCCCCTTCCCAGCCTGGTCTGAAGATGGCAAAGGCCATGTTGGGGAGGAGTGTTGGATAGGGGCAGACACCTGCATTAGCTGGATGGCACCCCTGTTTTCCCCCCTCACTGTAGAGATGCCAGACCCTCTGTAAATTGGGTTTGATTCTGTGGCAGCTCTATCCTCTGCCTCCCACATTCCAGATCAGGTACATAATTTGAAAAATGAAAATGCAGGACCCCTTGACCAAAAATGATTAAGGATTTCAAGATGGCATCCTTCTCAAATCAATGCTTATTTACTGAGACCCACCTGACTAAGCCTGAGGAAGAGAGGACAAGTTGATAATGAATCACTGCCCTCTAGGAGTTCAATTTATAGAAGGATTAAAACTTGAAGAAGAGCAGGACCAAATATGGATCCTGCGGGCCAGAAAGAAACAATCATATTCGATTAGGAACCTCTTCACAAAAAAGATGACATTGACAAATAGGCAAGATTTTATTAGCTCCGGGAGGAAAAGGGCATTCCAGGGAGAGGGCACAGCAGGGGCCAAAGCTTAGAGGTGCAAAGATGCATGGCAGGTTCTACAATACTGAATCGTGCAGTTTGGCCGAGGCATATGGATGGTGGAATAGTGGAGAGACTGGAAGGAAATTTCAGGGTCTGCTGCGGTGAAGTGTCCGTACTCCCTGTAGTGGAGACACAGGGGGATTTAGGTTCGGTGCATATTTGGGATCAAAGGAATAAGGGAGGAGACTTCCTCCACTTGGCCATCCCAGCCTGATTGCAAAGCCTCACTTTTCCACAAAACAAGTCGCTGCTACCCAGGTTCTGGAGATCATTCAGTCCACCCCTCTTGACCTACCGTGGTATGCTTGAGAGACCCACACGGGTGCACCGGCCCGAGCTCCCTCTCTCCCTACCAACATGGAGGACCCTCAATCTCGCGCGAGCCTAGGTTCTACGCGGCAATGCCCAGACACATGTTGGTGGGGTTTGGGTCTTTCCTGCCACTTGCTCCCATTGGTCCTACTCGGTGGGGGCGGGGGTGTGGAATAGGATCCCCGACTGGGAGGGGAGACGGCCAACTGGGTACAACGAGAAGGCACGACTGGGAGTGGAGAAAGAGTGGCTTCCATCCCCTGGTGGACCCGCCACCCAATTATTTTAACTTTATATTATGGATATTCTCAAACATATACAGAAGTGGAGAGAATGGTATAATGATTTTCCCAAGCCCCCACCACCTAGCTTCAACAATTTTCCCCTCTTGGCCAACAGTATTTCATCTAACCCTCTCCCACTGCCCACTTTTAAAAAAAGATTTGGGTGGCCTGGGGGTGGCAGAGGCGCCCCCACCCAGAACTATAGGAGAGCTGGTGCCAGGCCTGCACCACTGTTGATGCGAAGGCCGAGGGGCGGAGTGGGGGCACAGTTGGGTTGGGAGAAGGGCTCTTGCTGGGTAGGGGCCGCAGGGGGCGGGGGCGGGGCTGGCGGGGCGGGGCTTGGAGCAGGGTGGGGGTTGGGGGCGCTCTCCCGGTGACTCTAGGCGCGCGAGGCTGGGCGCAGAGCGGCAGTCTCCGCCTTGCAGCTTGGAGTGTGCGCCTGCTGCGCCGCAGCTGTCCGAGCTTGCCGCCGCATTCCCGCCGCCGCCACCACTGCCACCATGCCCAACTTCGCCGGCACCTGGAAGATGCGCAGCAGCGAGAATTTCGATGAGCTGCTCAAGGCGCTGGGTAAGCTGGCGTGGACCGCGCGCCCCGACGGGGAGTAGCGCCCTGGGCCCGCCGGGGGTGGGCTTTGGGGACAAAGAGGGAGTCGCCGGTGCGACAGATTGGGGAGAATTCCAAGGTGCGCCCTGTCTAGAAGCGGTGAGTAGCGCCCGGGATCCGCGCATCCAGCGAATGTTTCCTGGATGCTTGGCACTTTCCCCGACGGTTCGGCTTTTTATCTCGTGCTAGATCGTCGCGAAGAGAGATTATTACTTAAGTCCTAGGTGGGTCAGAGACTTTAAATTTGGATACTCAGTTTGAGGCCAGGGCCTGACATCAATTTCCTGTGCCACTCCGGGAAAAACTCTTACCCTCTCTGAGCCTCAGTTTCTCATTTCGAAAATCAGGGCTTGGGCAGTGGGAGAAATGGATCGGTTTTAAGTCCCCTATCTGTAGTCAGAGGGTTTGGGAAGTGCTAGGCCAGTCCCGGGACAACGGTCCGGTGGCGAGGCCCCGTACCCGGACAGGTAGCGCACGCATTCTAACCCCTACAGGTGTGAACGCCATGCTGAGGAAGGTGGCCGTGGCGGCTGCTTCCAAGCCGCACGTGGAGATCCGCCAAGATGGGGATCAGTTCTACATAAAGACATCCACCACGGTGCGCACCACCGAGATCAACTTCAAGGTCGGAGAAGGCTTTGAGGAGGAGACAGTGGACGGACGCAAGTGCAGGGTGAGACCCCAGAGTCCGAGTAGCGTTCCCGGAGTCCCGCTCCCTACCCATGAACGCTGCAGCCAGACGAAACCACGTCTCCTGTTGCAGCCTGTGGCGCGCTTTCCTTTGCCGGGCGTGTGCACGGGCTGTTTGCAGAGAGGATCTGTGCCACCGAGTTGCCCTGGTCTCAGGAAAAAGTTCTACCCGATCCTCTCCCAACCCCATCCCTAAGCTGCCTCCTGAGGTGCTAACAGCCACACTCAAAGCGCGGGCTCTGGGTTGCGCAGCGTTCCTTGCGGGGACTTCAGCGTTTTGCAGCGATCCTCCGCAAGCAGGCCGCGGGGGAGGAGGAGGTTGCAGGGGCTGCGAGATTCCCGGCCGCGCGGCCGCCACGTTTCCTGCTGCAGGTGGAGCGGCGGCTCTCGCGTCCCGCCCCGCCCCCCTCCCTGGGTCTCTGGGCCCCCTGGGAGTGCTCTGGATCTAGTTTCAGCAGTCTTAATGGCCTTGCCACCTCTCCCGCCCGCCCTCAGTTTGGTTCCTTAAAGGAAAGGCGGGATCTTTCCAAAAGCAAGACGAATTTTGGCTGGGAAGATGAACTAAGTACTCCTTCTTAGTCCTCAAATGCAAGAGTCCGGCATTTCTCTGTATATCGGCCCTAGGGATGAAATGGGTGGACTGAAACAAGGGGTTGTAAATTCCTTTATTAGGTAGGCAAAAATTGCATTTGGTTGATCTCTGGAATAGAATAGAGGGTTGGCTACTTAATTCCGTAGTTTGAGGACAGATGGAAAAAATGATCGCTACTGCTACCACTTATTTAAAAGGTGACAAAGTGTCTCCCTCCCTCTCCCCAGTGTTTAAAAAAAGAAAAACTAATAACATTACAGAGAGTGAGAAATTGTTTTTCACCTTTCCTGAGTTGTGCTTGTCTGTCTGATCGAGAGTGGGACTCTCTGGGCACGGGGTTTGGGAGGACACAGAGACACAGTCCCCCGGAGCTCACTGTCCCGCACAGCAAGATTTAGCCCCCAGAGTTGGCATAGCCTGAAAATGATGTCTGGACTTGGAGCTGGTGGGATCAGAGCCCCCAGCCACCGCACTGCTGGTAAAAACATAAGAGCAGGACAGCATAGTAGAGTGACGGTCTGGGAGTCTAAGGCAGAAGGCCTGGCAATAGGCAGGACTCAATTTGGGGACATCCAACAGTGACTACTGCCAGAGACAGTAATTCTGATCAAAAATCCAAGGTTCACACACAGCCCGGAGAGTGGGGCTTTATTCCCACCGTGCCTAATGAATGTGTCCCATGTGTTAGTTAAAAAGTGAGTATGTGCACATTGAGTACAGCCTCCTAGGCCAGTTGCACAGGGCTTTGTGCAGACACTGGGGAAAACTGCAGGGAATCCCTCCCTTCGCCTCTCACCTCCAACCGTGTGAAGACCCTTCAGATTTAAAAAAAAAAATTTTGAGGGAGATGTAACCTGGGAAGTGGCAGTGTTTTTTATCCTCAGAGCCAGAGACACAGGTTTATTAGAGCAGGCTGTGTGCTGCATCTGCTAAGTGCAAACAGAAAGGAAGGCTTTAGCCCCAAATCCGTGCAAGCAGCAGAGCTCCTGATCTGCTGACTGCAGATGTGGTTACAAATATGGCGTCTTAACCGTTCTAAAAATTTGTAGTTCTGATGTGCAGCTTCTTGCCTTGAATAGCTGAATTGCCTGAAGGGGTAGTCCATTTTGACGGAAATGAATCATTGCATGCTCTCAATTTTATTAGTGGAGATGTAAAGCCTGCCTTTTGCTTTGCGGCTTTGGTGAGTGTGTGTGTGTGTGTACGTGTGTAATACAAGGTATATTTATACCCTGTGAAATCCGTGGTCAGCCCTCTGAATTTGGGCTTGATAAGGTGCAGCAGAGAAGGTTCTGTGCCCCTCTGACAGGGACCATGTGTTGCTTCTCTGCACAGCAATTATTCTCCTGTGCTCATTGTTGTCTCTGCTCCCGCTGCCAAGACTGTAATTAATGTCACTAATGGTTTTCCTGCCCGCAGAGTTTAGCCACTTGGGAGAATGAGAACAAGATCCACTGCACACAAACTCTTCTTGAGGGCGACGGCCCCAAAACCTACTGGACCCGCGAGCTGGCCAACGACGAGCTCATCCTGGTGAGGCCCCTTGACCCTGAAACAAGCCCGCGGTTCCCCAGATGATGCCCGCCGTGGGCCACACCAACGTCGTCCTCACCCACCCATTCAGGGAAGAGACACTTTTTGCCTTGGGTTAAAATGTGAGCGGAAAGCTCGAGATGACAGTTTAGGTCAGAGGAAATCATTGTTGGGTGGTTGGCAGGAGAGATGAGTGCTCAGAGGGCAGAGCAGGGGCGAGAAACGGAGACAGGCTGCAGTGCCAGCCGCTGTCCACACCCATGCATTCCCCGCTGTGACTTGCTGACTTGTGTGAGCCAGTCTCCCCTCCAGCGGGCTGCAGAATGCTTGGGCTCTGTGAGGTCCCAGGGTTCACTCTGCAGAAGGGATTTTTTTTTCCTCCTCCTCATTCCCCATTTTAGTACCTGGGAAGGATTTCAGAAATTTTAGTATGCCAGCACTGGGAGCCTTAAAGAATATTTTTACCCCCAGACTTATAAACTCCAGTGGTCTTCAGGAGCCAGACAAAAAAAAAGCTGATTTGGGAAATGTTTGAGTGTTAACCCAGTGTGGAGGGTGGGGCCTTTAGAGCTGGAGAGGGTAGGCTCTAGATTGAAATATTTTAAACATCCCTGGCCACACAAAATATACCTGGTGAGGTCAAGTTAGAAATCTCTAGTTTAATCACACACCTCCTCCACCTTTATTTTGGTATGGGAACCAAAGGAGACTGGGAGAAAAGGACAGCTCCCTGTCAGTCTCCCTTTGTGTTTCAGAACAGACCAAGTTTTCCTGGCAACAACCCCCTCCCCCCCAGAAAAGGGAAGAGCTGTTGCTGGTAACCAGGAAATTATATCCTTTGTTCTCCATCTTGTTAATATCTTCCCTCTAAGGCATGTTGTTAACATCTCCCCTCTGAGACTGCCTGCCTGCCCCATCTTAGCGAATGTCACCCTGAAATGTCGGGAAAGGAGATGGCGAGGAAATCTCGGGCAGGACTGTGTGACCTAGGCATGGCCCTTCCCTCCCACAACTGTAAAATGAGGGGTTGAGTTAAGAGTTTGATCCCTGAGGCCCCGCTTAGCCCTGAAATTATACGTTTATTCTGCAAGAAGACCCTAAATTGAGCTGTCTCTATCACTTTAACGGAGGCTGCTTGATCTCGCTTTCTCTCTCTCCTCCTGTCCTTCCCTGCGAAGATTTCACACACTTTCTTCTTTCCTGCAGAAAGAACTGGCTTCATTTGCAACCTGGTTAATGTTGTTTGGAGGGCAGGAATACTTGATGGGGTTGGGGGGAGCAATTTGAGGGTGAGATACGGGAATTGAAGAGAAAAATGCACATATGGTTCGGTAGTACCACGGGTATCAAAGAGGGGGGTGACTTTAGAGCTCGGGTGTAGCTGAGGGTTAAGGAGTCTCGCTTTGCTCTGTGAGGAAGTGTGAGTTTGTTCATCTCCATCGTATCTGAGCAGCCAGCGCATCAGCCCAGTTCTGCTGGGAGAACTCCAGCACTTGCAGCTCCCCCGCCGCAGCTCTATCCGTGCATCCTTCCCCGGCTCAGCAGACATGCAGACGAGCCTCGAAGGGAGCATTAATTCTTGGCATTTGGGATCTAAAATGTGGGCTTTTGTTCCAGGGTTATTATCATTAATAAATCCAAATGGAGATGCTGTCTCCATATAACAAGAGGCAATGTATTTTAGTTTAGTTGAAATAAGCTCTCCCAGCAGCAGCAGTAAATTGCAACCCCCCGAACTGGATATAAGTTGCCTTCATTTTGAAAATTGAGAATACTCCCTTAAACCACTCTGGAACATTCTATGGGGAGTTTCTTTCAGGAATTTCTCAGCAGAGTTTGCAGGCTGAGAAGGACATTTCAAATGTGGTTCAAAATGTAGTGATTTTTCTTGTTTTGTGAAGCCACTTGCTGGCCTGGGTAAGGTGTCAGTGTTTCCAGTACAGGTAAAGGGTCCAGTCCCCAAACTTTGGCATTCCATTTGCCACTCCATGGGTGTAGAGCTGGAAGAGTTTTGGGAAAGTGACATGGTTCTAAGAGGTCTAGACTGAGAGGTGAATTTCCATGGGAACCCCTGCCTCACCTTCCCCCAGCACCCAGAGTCATCTGCAGTCCTCACTAATGGGAAAGGTCAATAGGACAAAGAAGGTGTCCAGAGCAGGGACAGCTGTGCCTGTGTGATCAGGAGTCCCCTACTCAGAAAAGTGGCTGGGGATGAGCATTTGCTTCCTTAATAATCATTAATGACTAGTATTTCCCTGAAACACACATGTTAGAATTGTGTCCCAGCACATGTTCTCTGAGAGTATCTCAAGACCAATTGAGGGACCCACGGGAAGATCCAGGTATAGCCAAGCTCTTCACTCACGGCTTTTAACCTCTGGAGCCTCAGGCCTCTTTGACAGGCTGAAAGATGGGAACCCTCCCACAGAATAATGTACACCTGCAAACAAACATACCCACATCAGGTGTTTTGACTGAGTAATTTTTTTTCTTTTTGTTTTTGGTTTTTTAACATACATACTGCTTTCTCTGATCTAACTGCCTGTGAGGGACCTAGGAGAGCAGGCCTGTGAGTAAGTGCCAGTTTTTGGAAGAATTTGGAGACAGTTTATTTATGGTGATATCATTTCAGAGGCCAGAATAAAACTGTCTTCCCCACAGCAAACAAACAGCCACAGAATTGTAGCTGGAAAGAAGCTGTGGGATCGTCTTGTTCAGTTGCACGCCCCACCCCCCGCCAAACCCAAGCTGTCCGGGAGCCCAAAGCCCTACCTCAGCTTACCCAGCTGTGAGTTGCAGAGCTAGGTCTGGATGCTGACGCTGTGCTTTTGCAGCCAAGACTGATTTTTTAGCTTGCAGGTGACTTGAGTATTACTTATAAAACTTCTCAGGCCATCTCTCTGGCTGGACAGATGCTTTCTGGAAGGCACTTTTACGCCCTCTCCAAAGCTACCCCACCTGGCTGGTCAGCACTGGACCCCAGGACTCCAGCTGCCCCAGCGCCTTGCTCTCTACTTCAGAAACGTCCAATATAAAATCTTTCCCCTTTCAGTTTAATTTGAAAAATCAAAGCCAGGAAACTTGCATTTCTTTTGTCACCATTCCCAGGTTCCAGAAGCAAAGGAAAACTGCATATAACTTAATCCTATAGCCCAGTTGCCTCTCTGCCAATACAGAGCTTAAGGGAGGAAAAAAAAACTGCCAGCAACCCTTTACGCTGTGCATGAGCACACGGCACAGGAAATTGAATGTCTGTTACAAAGAGTTTTTAACAGGGCAGTAAGCGGCCTTATTAGCGATACACTTTAAACATTTTTGCACAGGCATCTGCACTGATTGGTTTTCCTTCTCTGCAGACTTTCGGCGCCGATGACGTGGTCTGCACGAGAATTTATGTTCGAGAGTGAAGGCTGCCAGCTTACTCCTGCTTTGGGGGTGGAATGCATGTTCCCCTGAAAAATGTCATAGTTCTGAGCTGCCAGTGGGCCTCCCCTTCCCCCACTATCAACGTTAGGAGATCCCATTTTCCCCACGGTAATGTAGTGTTTCCCCCCAAGGCCTTTGTGCTTCTGTGTCCCTAGTGCTCCCTAGTTTGGCATCTGTGTGGTTTCTTCAGTCATTAAACTGGTTGTACACATCTCAAGGCTTTCTCCTTCTTTGGACTGCCTCTTCAGTTTCAACGCGGGTCATGGTGTACGGTGCGCTGTGCTGTGCAGTGCTTTGGGCTCCCGCCTGCTGCCCAGGTGCAGGGCTTGGAGCATAAGGCAGGGGCTGCGAGCTGGCCTCTCTCCAGCCGGATCCAGACTGCAGATCCAGGGGAGTTTGGACCTCACAGTGTTGCTTTTTTAATTGAATTAGTTGGTATATCGGTGGTTCCCAGCAGGAAAGGGAGGTCACATTCAAAAAGGTTAATTGAGAAGAGCTCAGTGTGAGGAGGTTTATTTACACAGGCATTTGCATAGATGGGAGGAGGCATTCAGAGACCAGCGACGGGACGCAGTTCTCCCCTGGGGCTGAAGACCTAGGCACAATGGGTCACCAGACTAACCTGGGAAAGAGACCACCGTGCAGGAGCTGTGGCACTACACAGAGGAACAGGGTCACTGCCAAAACCATGGCCCCAGTGTATGTGGGATGATGGGGCTTCAGAGAGTGGGGAAGAGTCTCTTCAGCTTGGAACAAGTGGGTTAAATATCCTGACCTCCCACATTTCAATCTCTGATTTACCTATTCTGCCCACTTACCAAACCCACCTGGAATCCAGAGGGCAAGAGGGTGGGGAGGTGGGGGGAGGGAGGGCACTGTCCACAAGAGTCACCCTCCCGGGGCACAGCTGGGCTGAGAATAGATCCGAATATGCCAAAGGACAATAATAAACAGTTGCCAACTTTCACATTTGAAAATCAAGAGATTTCACATGAAAATCTGGATTTCCACTTCAGAGAAAAACTGGGAAAATCTGGCATTTCTCACTGCATTCCCACAGGGCAACAATTGGCTTGGCAGCTTCCCCCCTTTTAAGTGGAACTTACACCCTCTGCCTCCGCGTGGGCCCCACCATCGCCCCTGCCTTTATTTACGTGGCCTGCCTGGCTTCTTGGGCACCTCTCCTTGCCATCCTAGGCACATGGGTTCTTGGCAAAGCCAGGCCAGAGTTGGCTGACCAACAATGTTTTGGGTGTGGATGAGGCCAGAAGACAGTGACCCTCAAAGAGCTCACCCCGCGATGGGGTAGATGCCTAAGGCCTAGGCGCCGCCGCCTGAGTGGGAATGAGGACACCTTTACCTTACTCCTCATATGTCCACGGCCCAGAGCCCCACTCTGCTCATGGGAGATTTCAGCCCCTCTCAAAGTCTCCACTACGCACATCTGGAACTCGGGGGGTGGGGGTCTCAGGCCGAATGGAACTCAGCTCACATCCTGCCTGCCTGCTGGGGCTCTAGGGACCGTCTCTGCTGTGACTCGCTCCACAAAAGAGCCAACGGCTCTGCCAACAGTCCTGCTTCCCGCAGTCCCAAAGCCACCGGGCCTTGACACACGAGAACAGGGCTGGATTCTGAGTCAGAGTCAAAAGAGAGCCTGACACCGGGCTCTGCTTTGTCCCCAGGGCTCTGAGGCGCCTCTGCTTGTGCCCAGAGCCTCTCCAAGCTCCTCGTGAAAACAGCTCCTTCAACTCTGGCTATACCCTGGTGCCACCAGGACCAGTGGCCACAGGCGGCGTGCCAGCCCCTCCATTCTGCTTGTTTCTCCTCTCCGGGGCTTGATCACTCACCAGAAACAGCCAGGTCCATGCCCAGCACCGTATAAAACACAGTTTCATGTGGCAGAGAGTGAGTGCTGGAGGAGTTGCCTGACGGCTTCTTGGAGGAAGGGGGCTGGAGCAGGGCCTCCAGGGAAGGGGAGGGCCGGGGCTGCTAAGCAGCGCCAGTGGTTCACTTAGATCGTAGGCTGCTGCCCGTTTCTCTTAAACCCTGCTCCTTCTTCATTTTTCAGAGAAAAAGGCACAGTGTTTCTCATTCCGTCTTGGAAAAGCACTCATGGGGCATTCGTGTTCCAGAGCCCCGTACGGAGATGGCGGCTATAGTCTTCAGCCTAAACTTATTTGTGTGTACGCCCATTACATATGATATATAATACACACACATACATGTAGAATGACCGCTTACACAAAATAGCACTGTCACCAGAATAATCTCACTAAAATGCTGCTCTAAACACGTTACTCCCCTGCTCAGCAGTCCCCATGATTGGCAACAGAAATGTCAGACACTCTGTCCTGGCTTTCAAGCCCCCCCATGATATGACCTCACCAGGTAAAACAAAAATAATGAGGTCCTTGTGTCTGTCAGACCTAGCTTCAACTCCTGGGCACACCTTTAGTTTGCAAGTACTAGAAACAGCCCCAACCAGCCCCAGCACAGAGGAATGTACTCTGCTGACCCTTGAAAATACTGTGCTAAGTGTAAGAATCCAGTCCCAGGACCACATGTTGTATGATTCCCTTTATATGAAGTGTGCAGAGCAGACAAATCCACAGAGACAGAGAGTAGACTGGTGGTTGCCTAAGGCAGGGGGTGCTGGGGGAAAATGGGAGTACAGGGTTTCTTCGGGGTGGGGGGTGATGAAAATGTTCTAAAATTGATGTGGTGATAATTGCACAACTCTGCGAACACACTGAAAACCACTGAAGCATACATTTTAAATGGATGAATTGTATGCCATGTGAATTATATCTTAATAAAGGTACTGCTTTTTAAAGGAATGTGCTGATCTCCCACTTTGTGAGGAATGCTGGGGAAGCTCTCAGGACTGGAGGAAACCCTGCAGGAGCTGGACCCCAGGGCCTGGACTCTGACTCAGTGCCCCTTAAACCCCTCTCTCCCTCCATCTCTTTCTCCATTTTTTATTCCCTTCCGGAACTGGTTCCGGTCACACGACCATGCCTGGACCAATCACAACTGTGGGGAATAAGGTCAAGTGACTGGCCAGGTCCACTCATTGTAGTCAAGTGACCTCTCCTGGACGATGGGCAGAACCTGTCAGAAGAGGGGAAAACAAGATGGGTGGTGAGGAACTGTGGTTCCTCCATTCTTTGTGCTGGCTGGCAAACCCTGGGTAAATTACTTAAGCACTGTGGGCTTTGGCCCCTTGCTATGTAAAATGAGGACAATGAAACCCACTTGGCCTGGCTGGTGTGGAGTTTAGGGGAGTTAAGGTTTGTAAAGTACTCAGAGCTTTATAGATTCCCACGGCGTCCTTGCCCTCCAGCCACATGGGTCCGGACCCTGATCCCACCCCTCTGGCCTCTCAGATCCTCTATGTTTTCAAGGCCAGCACTCAGCTCCTTTAGGGCATCTTCTCTCTCTGTCCCTGCCCCCACACTAGGCTCACAATTACAGCCTGCTCTGTGCACGCAGAGCTTCCACTGTGGTCCTGTGTTGTCATTCTGCATCTCCTAGGTTTCTGACATTTTCTGCCATCCAGCCTGTGTGGTCCCCGAGGCTGGGAATGGCTGCTTAAACAGCTCTGCACCCACGTGAGGCTTGGCAAGTTGTGGTTCCTCTGTAAACACGTGCTGATTATCTGACTGATGGAGAGCCAGTATTTTCTACAAGATCCAAGCCTTTCTGAATGGATGTCCTCAAGGAAAGGCAGACATAAGGGAGCAAACAGCAGTTCTCAACTCAAACTCCATCCAAACAGCAAGAGTAACCCTTAGGTAGGTAGTATAATACACATCACATATTATATCTCAGAGGCAGGGGGACAGAGATTGCAAGCCCCAGTTAAAAGAAAAGTGTGAACAGCGTAGAAAACCCTCCTCAGGAGCAGGAAGACTTGGAAGAAGCTAACTTACTGATTGCTTCATCCATCAGCTGTCCCAGATCCCCCTCTCCCTTGCCCATCTCCTACAGTAGAGGCTGGGAAAGTCAGTGCTTATTTTCCCAGCCTGCATTGTAATGAGAGTTGAGCATGTTACCCAGTTCTGCCCAATGAAACATAAAGGGGAGGCTTCTAAGGGGCTTCTGGGAAAGACTTTTTCTTCCTGATAAGATAGGAAAGCCTGGGAATCTAATTTCTGCTTACTGCCTCTGAATATGGTGTGAGATTGTGATGCCTGGAGCTGGTGCAGCCATCTTACAACCATGAGGAAAGGAGATGCCAGCTCAGAGTTATTGAGCTCACATAGCCCCTACCTCTCATTGAATGTATTGCTATATGATTAAAAAAAAAAAGTCAAAAAGCCCCTGTTTGGTTAAGCCAGTTATTCAGTGGCTTGCATCCTTGTAACCTAAATCATTCTTAATTGCTGCACTGAGGTAATGGAAAGAAGGACAGGAGCCTGTCTAGCTTGCAGATTTCTAGGAAGCCTTGTCTTGACGACTACCAGCACTATGAAACTAGACAAGGTGCCATCTTGCTCAAAGGAAAAAGTGATGTGAAAATATTTTATGGAAGTTAAGGCCTCATGTGTATTGTAACATCCTTCTCAGTCCCCTTTTACTTCAGCCCCTTCTCATCACCATGACAGCCAACATTTCCAAGTAAATAGGCGATGTTATCTGAGAAAATACAGAGCAGCCGGCCTGCGAATGCAGACTTCGCACCATCAACCCACTCCTTTCAGAGGCATCCGTCCTCTGCAAGTATGCTCCAGGGATCGGCCCTCCTTTACTGTAACTGCCCATTTGTGTCAGGAAAGTCCTCAGATCTTGTCAAAGACATCCCTCGCATCTGTATCTGTCCTCCCCACTGTCCAGAAAATGCTCTGCTCTAAGAAAAGAAATGTGGTATGTCACTGGTGAAAAATTAATCATCACAAAGTCCCCAGAGGGTCAGATAAATGTAGGTCAGAGTAGATTTGAAATCTTCTCTGACCGAAAACCCTTAAATTGGATGGACAGTTGTGCTTACCCCAACCCATCAGAACCTCTTCGTTGTTAAGTACTCTCAACCGTGAAGAGACGGAGCTGAGAGAGAGGAAGTGATTTGCCCAGGGTCACCATTTTAGATGCTTGTCAAGATCAGGGAGGCTTCCTTCTCTGGATTGAGCTGTATTTTTTTTTTTTAACCTCTTTATTATAGAAAATTTCAAGCATACATAAAAGTAGAGAGAACTGTATACTGATTCCCCATGTGCC